CTCATCTGCCTCTCGGTTACTAGACCTAATATTTAGTCCACATTCTAAGTCAGTTAATGCAAGTTCCTCGCACTGAATATCCGCTTTGATAAATTTTTTTTTTTTTTTTTTTTTTTGGGGGGGGGGGGGGAGTACATCTCAGATGCTTTTTGCTCCCATCTTAATCAAGCGGGTATTCTCTAGCAGCTCACTTGTCCTCGTGCGCCTGAACAAAATGGGGTGGTTGAACGTTAAAATTGCCATATTAGGTATGTGATTAGGTGTCTTCTTTGTGGTATGAATGTTCCCAAGTTGTACTAGTATATGATTGTTCTTACTGCTGTCTATCTGATAAACCACATCCCGAGTCATGTCTTGCAAGGCCTTACGCTGTTTTTTAAGTCCTTAGGCCTGATAGCACTATGTTTCCTCTCCTTCCTTGTATGTTTGAGTGTACTTGTTTTATTCAGAATTGTAGTCCTACCCTCACTAAGCTAGATGACAAGGCTATCCGTTGCATTTTTCTGGGGTACTCCTCTTTATCTAAAGGGTATAGGTGTTATGATTTAGTCTCTCAGCATTTTTATCATTCTTTAGATGTTACTTTTCTTGAGGATTTGCCATTTTTTGGTTTTAACATTCCTTTGCAGGCTCCTAGTGCGGTTCCTCCATCTCTTCAGTCTCCTCCTGCTCGTCCTGTTCCCACCTTTGATATAGACACATTCTTTACTTTGGATCATTATCTTGCTCCTCAACCTCCTCTATTTCTCCCTTCTGCACTGCCTTTGCAGGTTTACACCCGTCGCCCTCGGCTCGTACTGGCCTCCTCTTCTCCTCTCAGTTAAGGTAATTCACCTTCTCCTATTGCTCTTACTCGCTTCTCTCAGTATCCCGAAAGAGAGCGTCGCCCCATTTTCTGTTATGGTTGGCTTGGTAGTACTAATCATCCTATTTCCCAGTATCTGTCTTATGTTGGTCTTACAGGTTCTCATCACTCTTTTTTGGGCAAACTTGAGTCTGTCTCCATCCCTCGCTCTGTCTCTGAGGCCCTCCAGAATCCCAAGTGGGTAGCAGCTATGTAGGCTGAAATGGATGCGTTAGAACATAATTAGATGTGAGAGCTTGTTCCGTTGCCTCCTCCTGCCAAGACAGTTGGGTGTAAATGGGTATTCAATGTTAAGTATCTTGCTGATGGGTCAGTTGATCGCTATAAAGCTCGTTTGGTTGCCAAAGGCTACACCCAAGTCCCTGGCCAAGATTTTGATACTACATTTGCACCAGTGGTGAAGTTGACCTCTGTTTGTCTTCTTGTTTCCTTGGCTGCTGCTCATTCTTGGCCTCTTCATCAATTTTATGTCAAGAATGCTCTTCTCCATGGGGACTTTCTTGAGACTATCTATATGCATCCTCCGCTTGGTTTTCGGGCTGAGGGGGAGTATGCGGGGAAAGTGTGTCGTCTTTGCAAATCCTTGTATGGTCTGGAATATTCTTGTCGGGCTTCGTTCAGTTGGTTCAGCAAGGTTATCTTGTCTATGGGCTTCATTCAATGTCACTCTGATCATACCTGTTTCATTAGGCGGCAAGCGAATGGACGGTGCATCATTTTGCTTGTCTATGTTGATGATATTATTCTTACTGGAGATGATGCTACGGGAATTGCTCAAGTTAAAAAGGATCTTAACCATGTTTTTGACATCAAAGATCTAGGTCCTCTCAAGTACTTTCTTGGTATTGAGATTGGTCGTTCTCGCCAAGGAATTTCCTTGTCTCAAAGGAAGTATACCTTTGATCTTCTTCAAGATACCGGTATGATGGGTTGTAAACCTACCTCTATTCCTATGGATCCTAACTTGAAGCTTACTGCTGAATCTGACGAGTACCAACATTAGACCAAACTTGATATTTGATGTGACTGTTGTGAGTCAGTTTATGCACGCACCTCGTACCGCTCATCTTGATGCAATCTATTATATCTTGTGATATTTGAAGACTACTCCTGGTTTAGGGCTATACTTCTCAGCAGGCTTGCTGTCTAGGTTGTCTTGTTTCACTAATGTCGATTATGCTAGCTCCAAAATTGACTAGCACTTTACCTTTTGATTTTTGTACCTTCTATGGCAATCATCTTATATCATGGAAGAGTAAGAAACAAGCAGTTCTCTCCAGATCTTCGGCTGATGCTGAATACCGTGCTATGGCACAGGGTACTTGTGAGATATTATGGGTCAGATCTATTCTTGCATAATTTAAGGAGAATACCTCATCTCTTTTGTTTTGTGACAATAAATCTGCAATTATGTTAGTTTTCGATTTAGTTCTTCATGAGAGGACGAAACATATCGAAATGGATATTCATTTTATTAGGAAAAAGGTTAGGACAAATGTTGTGAGTCCATCCTTTGTCTCTTCCTCTGAGCAGCTTGTGATATGTTCACCAAATCGGTTGGTCCAACCTTATTACAGTCTTCCATTGTCAAGTTGGGATTTGTGAATATCTTTGAACTAGCTTGAGGAGTGTTGGAATATGTGAATCTCATATATTGTGTAAATCCCGTATATTGTGTGATTATGAGATTTTAGGCATATTTTTATATATTTGATTTTATTGTTATTCTACCTTCCTAAATTGTAACCTCCTCAATTCAGTATATATATATACACAAGGCTCATCATACATTGTGATTAAGCCATTCTATTTATTATTTTCTTCTGATGCTGCTACTCGAGTGCTTTGTCATCTCAAAGGTACATCTGGAAAAGTACAATTGCAGCTAGGAGGTTTCGAACCTAAGATCTTGGAGGGAGCACATCCCCAGGCCCCAGGTCTTGACCACCGATTGCGTTCAAACAGGTGATACAATGGACTGGAGTTGCGACAGTAAACTGCGTTCTCATTCGAATGATGCTCTCATGCATTCAAACGCGCACATCACTAGAAATATCCAAACGAAAAGCAACTATCCATATGTATGAGGCCCAATTACCAAGTTTATGGGTCCTAAAAGTCAAGTCTAATAGAAAATTTATCTTATAGCCCAAATCCAAACTATGGTTGAGAACACAAAACAAACCAGCCCAAATAGACTAAGCTGGATAAACCCTCTAACTGATGCTAATGCAATGCATGAGTTTTACCTTTACATGAAGAAGAGTTTGTCTGTCTGACCAAAGCTTGCAGTTGAAGTCTTTCATGAAAAATATTCACCACAGAACATGCTCAAGACTCCATCAAGATTAACTAACTACTACAGACTCAATCTTTAGAATGAAATTGCCAACACAAAATGACTAAGGGGTTAGCTAGACAATTTTCTTCACAGTCTACTTGTATATTCTGCATTCATGTTTTACCCCTTTGATTTGACTTCTGATATGATCTGTCTGTCATGAGTTTTACCTTTACTGGATGAGTTTAAACTTTTCCAAGTTGATCAGAAGGATTTACCAACTTAAAGAGGGTGATACCGTCTAGGCAGAAAACAGTACTATTGGCCAGAGAGTATTGTGTTCTAGTTTGTCTGCGTTGAACATTCTGTCTGTAATTTTCTTTATATATTTGTCCACAAACTTGTATCCATAATAAGTGTGTTTAGAAGCTTGAATGAAATTTAAACACTTCATAGCCAAGGGGTGCATATGTACACTTTATAGTAAGCGTAGACACTTATTTGGTTGGTTTGACAGATGTCATTTGCTAGAAGTTTTAAAATGATAATCACCAATAGACAAGTAGAGCTTGATGATGATATGATTTAGTGTTGCCAATTTTGACAACATGCTGAGTGGTTAATGCCAAGGATGACTCACCAAATGGAAGGAAAAGGATATGCTAAAAGCCCCAATTGAGAATAGAGTTGTATTTTGAGTCTGTGAGTCTTGGAATTATAATTTGAGTGTGAAAAATTTGTTTGGTTATGAGTTTTGAATTGAGTTTGAAATTTTTGATATGACGTATGATATTTGATTCAAAAACTTACAATTTATAACCAAACACACAACTCAAAATTCTATTCAGAGCTCATAAAAAATTTTAAAAAAATTCTGAAAATATTTTTTATTTAAAATATAAAAATAACAGGTGCAAAAAAAAATAAAAATACGAACACTGTTTCGGTCAACTAGTCGGACAACCAGCCAGACAACGAGAGGGACGTTCGGGAGGATGACCGGGTAGACGTGTTTTCAAAAGTGGGTGTGGAATCAATGTTTGAAAATTGTAACCAAACACCACACTCAAACCAAGGGGTGGAATTGAGTTTTGAATGCCTTACCAAACACAGCCTTTGTGTTTGTTCAAGTTTTCAGCAGGTTAGGAAAAAAAAAAGTGGTTGATTGTGCAGGTCCCTATTCATCGAGATGTCCGGGGAATAGCAAATAGCAATTACTGACAAGAGTAATGCATTTGGTGAACCTATGACTGACAGGTTCTAGAGTAATGAAGTTTCATTTGTCTAGTTTTATTTTTATTTTTTCCTTTTCCTTTTCCTGTATTCCTTAGTCAGGATCATTAAAACTATCCCAGTACTGACCTGACTTCATTGATTTAGTGGAGTTTATTTTGTCTGATAGATACTAATTTTTCAGTTTAAGAGTCTAAATCAGTTGAACTTTCTTCTCGCTTTCTATTTTGTGTTCCCTACATTTGTGATATGCTTATACTAAAAAACATTGAAATGATAACTGGGTGGCTATGGTCAATACATGAAAGCTCTTGCTCTATCGTCACTGAAAGCTGGGGCTCCCAACTTAAATTGGTGGTTCTTGCCAGTGTTGGTCATTTTACTATGAAGATGACCCATTATTGTTTATATATCAGCAGTTTCTTTTATGTCTTTAAGTAATTTGTGTAAGCTATTTCTAAGTTTACTTCAGCATTTTTATGTCTTAATGTTGTACGTGTATAAAGTGATAACTTCTTTGATGGATTTAATCTGCAAGTGGTTTTGGTTCTTTGTTCATTTGTTCATGAGGCCTTTAATAGGAAGTGGTCATCTTTTGCTCTTTCTATAATTTTGATGTAGGATCGAGCAAATGAGATATATAAAAAGGTAGAAGATCAAAAGCCTCTTAGAGGACGAAATCAAGATGCGATTTTGGCTGCTTGCCTCTACATTGCTTGTCGGCAAGAAGATAAACCCCGCACTGTGAAAGGTAAGCTGCAAGTTCTATAAAATTTTGATTTTTGTGTTTTAATATATTCTGGGTGCGTTTTGAGTACTGGAAGGTGTAAACTTCCAGAAATATGTTCGGTTGCCAATGGAGCCACAAAGAAGGAGATCGGCCGTGCAAAGGAGTTTATTGTCAAACAATTGGAGGTAGAGATGGGACAATCCATGGAAATGGGAACTATTCATGCTGGTGACTTCTTGGTGAGTTTGTCAATAAGTTTTCTGTTTTCTTGTCTCTGTTGCATGTGTTCGTTTCTTGGGTTTTCCTTGTGGGGATTTGTGTAGTTTAACTGTTGACTTTTGTGCTCCTTGTTTTGTAGAGACGTTTCTGTTCCCATCTTGGCATGACCAATCAAGCGGTTAAGGCTGCACAGGAAGCTGTTCAGAAATCTGAAGAGCTTGATATAAGGTAGTTGGATTTTCACTTCTACTCTCGTTGGTCAGAGAACTTTTATTCTGTTCTTTTGTGTTCTTGTTTTATTCTATTTATATTTTGTAGTTACAAGAAAGTATATTAGTCTGGGTGACTTGTAATTTTAGAGAACCAAATGGATATTTTTTTGCCAATTGTTGTGGCATGCATAAATAGTCATTTGTGTTTATTTAATATGCACCATTAACTCCTGGTTTTGTTGTTGTGTGTGTCTGTGTCCATTTATTGATGACACTCTTCGAGAAACTTGGACCCTGTGAAAATATGATCATGCATTCGTTTCCGATAGTACCTCTATAACTAAAAGGCAAACTAGAAGTCAACAATATAAATAAGGGAAAATTGCATGTTTCTGATGAAGTCTACTTGTCTCCCTCGAATACTATTCTCATTTATGTCCATTGTTCTAGTTGGTATGATTCTTTTCTCCTGGAAAAAGTCTCCACACACCTTGAAAGGATTATTAACTGATTTCTTTTGCAAGAAAATGATGAAATGGTTGGAGAATATTGCTATAAAGTAGCCATCACATGCCCATCTTTTACTCAATTTCTGAATGAGTTAGATAGATCTCTCCTTTTGAACAAATCTGACATTAACTTCTCAAATTTGCAGCATGAGTTTGTGACATAATTTCTACTGTGAATTCAGATACGTAGATGGTCTGTAACTTGATTTTATAAAAAATGTGAATGAACATTCTGTAGTTTTTATCATGTTTTCAATAATAAACATATCTTCTCATTTCCACTCTTATTCCATTACAGGAGAAGCCCAATATCCATAGCTGCAGCTGTTATATACATCATAACTCAATTATCAGACGACAAAAAGCTTCTCAAAGGTCAGAAATATACAATACAACTCATCTTTGTAGTTTTTGCAGACATAATACGAACTCAAACGCCTTATTTGTTTGCAGATATTTCACTTGCTACGGGTGTGGCTGAAGGGACTATACGGAATTCTTACAAGGATTTGTATCCATATGCTTCAAGACTAATACCAAGCTGGTATGCAAAAGAGGAAGACATCGGGAATCTCTGCAGCCCTTGAAACCTTTTCAATTAGGCAGTTGCACCGGATTAGAGCAATCTACATGTTTAGTACTGTTGTTCCTCTAGAGATGGGGGAATTTGTTAATTATTTGTAGTATTAGTTTTTTATTTTACTTTAACTAAGTGAGAGTGACCTTCCTAGTAAAATGAATCTACTTCTAATTGTAACCAGTGTTGTCAATCCGGTACAGTCTGAGTGTACCAATTTGAGAGAAAAACGGAACAGTAGAACCACAATTCCAACTTACTGGCCTGCTCCGGCCAATCTCGTCAATTTCGGTAAATTCCGCCCATCTCAGCTTCTGTGCCATTTCTGTCCGGTACAATTAAAAGCTGGAAAGTGAATGGTGTGCCTATACATATCTATATATATATATATAGATATATTATATATGTACGTATGTATGTATGTATAGAGTGATTAGTTTTAGACAGAATTGAGAGATAGGACTTTTTTCTAATGAATAGAGAAATGAGGAAGCATTTTCTTACTAAAAATACACGAGTCTAAATGTATATTAATCATGTTTGAACATGTGTGTTTTTAGTATGATTACTAGTAAGAATTTAAGTAGATATACAATTACTCATAATTATTAGGCTTTACAATAGTTACAAATATATTTATTTTTTTAACATTGAGGTAACTTTTTACTTTTTATTGTTTGATTTTTACATGCCACAAACAAATAATATAATTATATAAAAGCCACAAAAATTTAAATATACAAAAAATTAAGGTGGGATTTATTTTTTAAAGCTTGATAAAAATGTGGCCTATTATATATAGTATTAAATTATAGCCATAAATCCGAAATGGTACATGAAAATGCACCGACCTACCATACCAATGAAAAAAGGTATATTGACCGTACGGGATTAACAATTTTGATTCTAACTTGACTAATGAAATTGTAGCATATAGGTATAGCACCAAGGATTAGAACAGCTTCTGTCATCATCCAAGGCTATGGTTGGGGTGATTAAGTCTAATTTACCTTATAATTTTGACATGTTGGCTCAAATTCAGAACTTGTCCTTGCACTATTCTTGTGTTCTTGTGTCTGGTAGAGTAGCATTTGATGGTCTAGCAGCTACGAAGCACATATATGGATACGGTATGGATAGATTTGGCCCATTTGATAGTATTTATAAATCAATGTGTTTAACTTGTTTGCTTAAAAAAAGTTAATTAATCTTGTTTGATTGCAATTTTAAAATTATAACTTGTCCCCCCCCAAAAAAAAAAAAAAAACTTTAAGCTATGAGTTTTATATTTTTAGCTCACTTGAAATTCTTAAATATGTACAGGCAAAAATGTTATATTTCTTTTGTCTTAATTATAAGTTTTGAGGGCATTCTTAATATTTACACAAAAAAAAAAAAAATAATAATAATTATGTAAACTTTTAGAGAAATTTAACCAAAACATATTCAATGGACTCTTGTTTGGTAAAAAGGATAACCCAATTTATTTTGTTTCATAAATCCTTTAAGGAGAAAATACATAATTGAGTAAAAACAAAGTAAAATAACTTTTTCTTTTTTTTCCTTGGACAATATTGCCAGAGTAACATATTACTGTGAACCAGAGTAACATGTTATTGTCGAGTAAAGTATCTATAAAAAAAGTAACATGTTACTGTTACTGTTTACATCAATTTTGACGGTAATAAATTATTTTATTTTATTTTTTTTTTAAAGAATTTCATAGTTAACATCGATTTTATTTAATAGATCTTGATGAGAGAATTCTAAAAATATTAATTTTATTAAAAATCGATATTTACACTTCTTCAATTTTTATGGATAACCAAACCCCCCCCCCCCTCCCCCCCCCCCCCCCCAAAAAAAAAAAAAAAACTTTAAGCTATGAGTTTTATATTTTTAGCTCACTTGAAATTCTTAAATATGTACAGGCAAAAATGTTATATTTCTTTTGTCTTAATTATAAGTTTTGAGGGCATTCTTAATATTTACACAAAAAAAAAAAAAATAATAATAATTATGTAAACTTTTAGAGAAATTTAACCAAAACATATTCAATGGACTCTTGTTTGGTAAAAAGGATAACTCAATTTATTTTGTTTCATAAATCCCTTAAGGAGAAAATACATAATTGAGTAAAGACAAAGTAAAATAGCTTTTTCTTTTTTTTCCTTGGACAATATTGCCAAAATAACGTATTACTGTGAACCAGAGTAACATATTACTGTCAAATAAAGTATCTATCAAACAGAGTAACATGTTACTGTTGCTGTTTACATCAATTTTGACGGTAATAAATTATTTTATTTTATTTTTTTAAAAATAATTTCATAGTTAACATCGATTTTATTTAATAGATATTGATGAGAGAATTCTAAAAATATTAATTTTATTAAAAATCGATATTTACACCAAAAGTTATATTATTTTAAAGCTTAATATTTTGATAATAGTGGTATGTGTTTGACTTTTTAAGAAAAACATTTTGTGCTTGTTTTTAATACATTAAAGTTTTATTATAAAAGGTATTTGACAAAATCCCTAATATATAGGATAAATTACAATCACTTTTCTTAAAGAACAATTCAAGAACCAAGACCAGACTATGGTTGAAAGGTGTTGCGATTTGAACCCAATCAAAGTCAAATCTTGAAAATTAGAAGACTATGATCCAAAACTCAATGCCCCTGATACCAAATAACGAAATCTAATGAAATCAATCCAAAAAGAGATTTCATGAAAAAAAGAAAATCCCAAAATGGGAATAAGAGCTCTCAAGTTTTAAAATATTTAATGTTAAAATATCATCAACTGAATATTAGAGAGAAAAATGCTTCACACTACTAAACCATCACCACTAATTCACCGCTAATGACATGGCGCCGACGTGGAAAGACTAATGCAAACTCGCCCCTTTCTCTCTCTTTCTTATTCATTTCAAATTTCAAATTCATTTTCAGAATACATTTGAAGACTCTCTCTTTCTATTCTTCCTTCTCTTTTCTCTCTCTCTCTGTTTGCTGTTGTGTCTCTCTCTTGAGGAGCTCCCCGACGAGCACAACTCTCCAACCCCCGCGACGATTGAGTCTCTCTCCAACCTGTATCAGTCCTCAGTTATAACGATCGGCGGACTGGTTTTTGTCGCTTTTCATGACGACGACGATCGAGTCACTCACGATGACCGAGTCTCTCTTCGTCTTCCTGTCGAACTTGTTTCTCTCGACTTTCTGTCTTTTCTCAATAGATCTGTCTGCTCGACAGGTCAATTCTCTCTCTCTCTCTCTCTATATATGCTAATTTGTTGAGATTTTTGTGACTTTGATTTTGATTTCATCTGTTTAAGAGGATTTTGATTTGCCCTAATTTTACATTGGATTAGCTATGGCGCTGTGACTGATGATACTAGGGTTTATGAGGTTCCGGCATTAATGATTGAGTTCAATGAATGAGTAAATGATATTGTCTCTACTCCATTTCAATCTATTACTAATTTACAAGGACTTAATCAATTGGATGTGAATAAAACAAGAAACCATTTGTTGTTGAATTGTTTTGGCTAATTGTTCATGTTGTGATATATGAAGACTGATTTGAAGAGAGATTTTTGGACACAATTTTTGAAGACTTACATGCAAAATAATGTATAAAAATAGTATAATTGTAATGTATTGTGCAAGAATTGTAATTGTCGATAGTGTATTGTGCAAGCATTGTAAATAAGCATGAGGTGTATAATTGAAGCATGTTGTCACGACCTTAGTTATTTCCAAGTTATCCGTGCGGCACTTAGACAATCTCAAGTTTTACTTGATGATGCTAAGTCAACCTAACTCTCAAACTTATAAGTAAGAGAAGTAAGAGGAACATAAGAGAGTTTGAGAAAATGCCTTGTATTCACAATGAGTAAGCGTTACAATTCTAGGATGACTTGGAGCAAATGAGCTCCTCTCCTATTTATAGGCTCCCTAGGAGCATTCTAGAGTTCTCAAGAGAATGTTATGTAGAAACTTCTGTTAGACGCCTTATTTACAAGCTTCAAGAATGTTCTAGAATGCCTTCTAGAACTATCTACTCAAATATCTAATTGTATATACAATTGTATGGGTTCTTGAATTCCCTAGGTATTTCTAGAATTCTCCATAGTCTTTTAAAGTTTGCTAGGGAGTTCTAGATTCTTCCATTAATCTCTCTTTCTTTCATACTCCCCTTTGGATATTTTGGAGAATTCTGTAGGGGCATGACATTTCTCCCCCACCTATGCTATAGCGACATCCTCGTCACGTCTTCTTCCCGAAATTTTTGTATTTGTTCCTTGAACTGCCACAAAGCATCGGCTGGCTCCCAGCTAGCCTCGCTTTCAGGTAGTCCTTTCCATTTAACCAGGTACTCGATACAAGGAGGTACTCCACGTCTTCTAATCACTCGGTCAACCATCATATATTTAGCTTGTTTTTCATATGAGGTTACGACTGCCGTTGGTGCCCTTGATGACTCTCTGCGGCTTGGATCTTCCTCGTCAGCATGATAGGGCTTTAAGTAGCTTACATGGAATACGAGACGGATCTTGAGTCTTTGGGGTAGCTGGACTTGGTAGGAAACTTTGCCTACCATTTTTGTAATAGGGAAAGGGCCTTCATACTTCCTTGTTAGCCCTTTGTGCACCTTTCTCAGGGACTTGAATTGTTGCGGTAGTAGCTTGACAAGCACTAAGTCCCCGACTTGGAATAACACGGCACGTCGTTGTTTATCAGCTGTAACATGCTCGGGGGGTACCTGCACACATTAAACAGTTCGGACCCTCGATCTCTTTGATTTAGTCTCACGAGTGCAATGTAAAACGTAGATGAGAGTCCAGATTTGGCAACTTTTAGAAAATCCAATTTATTACAATTTTGTCAAAAATGGACTGCATCATCAGATCTCAGAGTCGCCACCTAATATTTTGAAAAATTAGGAAACCCATGACTCATGCCAAGGCCACTGTTCATCGTAACCAAAGATGCTTGGCTCGAAACCATAGGTATGAGAGGGGAAGGTCAATAATGAGCACCCCCGCTCACCCGATCAAAAATCGGCCTCTACTAAACCATGATATGAATTTTATTTACTTTATATGTTCATATTCTGATTATTTAACAAGTCCTAAAATTTACTACATGAAGCATACAAGTATAGACTAATTTTGCAAGAATTGGAACAATATCAATTTCCTGTTTGTTTTGCAAAGAGTTTGAGTTTGCCACCTCAAGTGGGCTTAAAGTTTGTGAATTTGCCACTACCACGTGGGCTTAAAGTGTACATTCGT